CGACCCCGGCGAGGGCCCGTCAGGTCTGCAGGCGGAGGGAGCCGCCGCTGCGCCCCCGGCCGAGGGAGAGCCCGGCTGGCACGGCAGCGAGGCGGCGCGCCGGTTCAGAGAGCGTACCCCGGACGGCTGGTTCGGGCCGCCGCCGCCCGAGGAGGGCGGCCCGGAGCCGCCCTACGTGCCCTACGACCCGAACTTTGTCGATCCCACCGACTACCTCCCCGCCGAGGAGCTGGCCAAGTACAAAATCTACAAACGGCGCACCCCTTACCGGAGAGTGCCCTGAGAGGTGTGACCCGTCCCGACCGGCCGTGGTGCCGGGGGAGGGACGTCAGGTCATATTAGGTCACAGAACACTGGGGGTGTCTGGATGAGTGAACACAGAACGGTACGCTCGCGTTTGATGAGAAGTGTTGCGTGTGTTTTATCCATTTAACCTCATTGTTTAGTCGTTTGAGTGGTCTGGTGTTGTGTATTTATAATCATTTTCATTGTGCGGTTGTACCGTCGCCGTTTTGTGGATTGTTTACAGACTTCGACAATATCATTAGGGCTGTGAAGGGATGGGAGGGATATGCTAGCGATAAGAGACAACTTTGTCGTCTGTTCCGGTGAAGTATCACTGGCTCATTGCAGTTCAGTTCGGGGCAATCGTAATTATTGCTTAAAAAGTAATGTATGTTCATTTTTTGTGTGATTGTCTCTGCCCAGCTAAAATCAATAGAAATAAAATTTATGATTACCTCCTGGTGTTTGAGATGGGTCTCATTATCCAATGATGATGCGAAGTTGGATTATCTGTAAGTAAGGTGAAGCGTATTTATCGCACTTGAAGGACGACTACGGTTATCGTTCGAGCCGTGTACACGTGATCCATCTGGGACATGGTGAGTGCAGTTATCACCGCCGTGTGTACGATTACATATCTATTCGTTAAGGCGACTGGCTAGACGCGTTTTCCGATAATGAGAGTTGTCGAGTTTGTACTCGTGTGCCCACCAACGATTTTGTCATCGTGTTCCCAGCAGCAGAAACTAGGGTCACAACACCATACGTTGGTCGCTGCTCGGCTGTCTCCGCGATAGTAGACGGACGGCGCTCAGTGTTGCATCATCGCAGACCCTTGTTTCGTTTTCCCGGGTCGTTTGTATAGTATCCCACGCACCCATGTCCCATCTCAACTGACTCGCCTATTATACTCGCCTACCAACTCGAGATGCTCAACATCTCCAGCTACTCACCAACTTTGCCCAGTCGACGCTAACTACCAACGTCTCACGTCCCCACCTCACCCTGTCTGCCACAGATAAAGTCGTTCTTCGAGGAGCACCTGCACTCGGACGAGGAGATTCGCCTGATCCTGGAGGGCTCCGGGTACTTTGACGTGCGCGACACGGACGACCGGTGGGTGCGCGTGCTGGTGGAGCGCGGAGACCTGCTGGTGCTGCCGGCCGGCAGCTACCACCGCTTCACCTGCTGCTCAAAGGTGGGTGGCCGGGAGCCATGTCCTTGGCCGAGGCCTGCATCCCTGGACCCTCATAGACGCATGCGTCCCTGGCTGAGACCCCCCCCCCCCTGATCCGGCTGAGACTGGCACGGGCGTCGGTGAAAACAGGGCGCCGGAGGGCACATTTGGTCACGTGACTATTAAGAACTTCTCCCCCTCTCAGTGCCTTCTACATGCTGGATGTCACGTGGTTTATGGGAGTGAATTTCAAGAGCCTTGATCAAGTCGCCCCAGGCGCCCTGTTTTCACCGTCGTCCGACTCGCACCCCATCCGGCCGAGGCCTGCAACCACGACAGAGCCCTGGCGCCTGCACCACTGGCCAACATTCCTTCGCTTCTGTCCCTGGCCTGGCGACTCTTGGCCGAGACGCGGGTTCTCCTGGTCGATGCTCCTCCAGACGCTTCTGGCCTCAGGGCGTTCATCAACTTGCATGTGCATTCCGTTGGGTTTCGGAAAGACCTTGGTTTTTCCTTGGTGTGGCTGCGTCGTTTGACTACTTCGTTGGATGACCAATTCCATCAAATAACTTAACTTTCCCATCCACATATCCTCCAATCCTCCGTCAGTTTTTGGACCAAGCTCCTTTTTGGATCCATCTTCGGCTTTAGTATGTACCGAAGTACGGTGGTGGTCTACTAACTGCGTATGCCATTAGTTAAATGCGTGCTTTCTGATCGGACGCCTGCTATGTGCAGATAAGAGACATTCTATAGATTCGTTCGGTGCGGGACAGGACTGGGCGCATGGCTTAAGGAAAGAGCATGTTCGCTTTTCAACCATGTTTGTCTTCCGCTCTGGCTGTACGGTGACGGGTGACGAAACACAACTATGCTGATAACGCCAGTAAATAGCTGTTTGGCGGCGATAAAGCGATGGTTATCGGTGTCCTATTTAGCTAATCGTACTTGTGTGCGCGCACAAGTTTTCCTTCATCTGTCGTTGTCGTCGGGTGTCCTTGGTTGTACTGAATAGCGGCTTACTCAAGTAAATAGTTACCGTGTTCATACGAACGCGTATACGTATAAGGTAAAACAAAGAAACACGTACTGTAAAGCAATCATGTCTGTGTTTCCTAAGCAATGTTATAGAGAAGGGCGTATAACTTCTTCAGAACTAACATATTCTTATACTTAGGTACCAACTTCGGTTGAATTTCGATCCAGTTTTATTGTTCTTCCCCTCCCCTGGTCCAAATCTGGGCTCAGCCATGACATGGACTGGCCGCCGTAGAGTGACATTTCTCCGGGGCTTGTCCCACACAGAACTACATCAAGGCGTGCCGTCTGTTCTGTGGAGAGCCCGTGTGGAAACCCTACCCTCGGGGAGAGGAATCTGACAAGATGACGGCTCGCGCCGAGTACCTGAAGCAGATGACTGCGGCCGCCTGAGCGACCGGAGCGGGGAGGGCGGCGGCACCGTCCTCTATACGGGCACACTGTGGCAGAGGGCGGCGGCACCGTCCTCTATACCGGCACACTGTGGCAGAGGGCGGTGGCACCGTCCTCTATACCGGCAGACTGTGGCAGAGGGCGCCGATAGCGGCGCCGATGGCCGACCATCAGATGACCCGACAAGGTGCTGAAGAGCTACAACCAACTTTCAGGGGTATTCGATTTTTGTGATCCTTTGAAGATCTTCCTGGTGTTAGTGGATCTTTCCCATTGGAGTGTTATGGGTGAATCGTGAATTGTAACTCGGTCAAGGGACCAACGTTAGTTAACTGATAATTACTGGATAAAAGCATCGAGCACGTAAAACAGTTTTTTATGTAAAAATATTCACGAGTGATGTGCACTTTGTGATACGGAACTATCGGCTTTTTGCCAGACTTGTGCCATTTCTTCTCTTTTCTTTTGTGCAATGCTATCTCATTTGTGTATTTGTGTCTAATTAGAGGGCAGTCTGCAAAGCTCAAATGTGCTAGAGCTCAACATGAAGCAAGGTTATGAAATACCCCCAACGGTTGCATTGCTGTTTCTTTTTGTATAGCTTTGTTTCGTCGGTAGATGGAGTACTAAAGCAAACTGAATCTCTTTTGTAATATCGTGCGGGATTGTGCTGGTGCTGTAATACATTTAACGAGGGAGGGAATTGAAATAAATATTTACGCTTATTTCGGCTTGATATTTGTATGGTTAAGACCAACCTCTCCGTAATGTGCGACAACACACACTGAATATATTTTACGCCTCACAACCAAAATGCAAACATTCACTACTACAAGCCATGAAAATGACTGGTGAATGGTGATCCGTCCATTGTTAGTCCATGGAGTATGGGAAATGTTTAATTCCGCGGAGTAACGGTACGCTTGCTGGCATCACATGCTCACACACTGAAATGGTGCCTACGTATCTGAGCTGTATTTTATTTCATATTTTTAAAAAAGACTCACGAAATGTCTGATTAACCCGCGCACCGACGGGGGTCCGCCCAACTTAGAACCGACGGGGGTGCGGATGACTGCCCCCCCCCCCTGAGATCTCGAGAACGAAGCAAGATAGCGACAAGCGGTAAACGGCATTGGGTACGCACGGACAAGATCTACAATTTGTACCCGGGTCGTTTTCAGGTCAGGTCAAAGATGACGTCACAGGTGTCAAAAAATTCGAAATGGCAGCGCTAGAAATAACTTTTGAAGTAGCCAAGCTAGGAACAAACTTTTGGCACCATCGTGATCCTCTCCTCAATCCGCACCGAATCATATATATATATATATATATATATATATATATATATATATATATATATATATATATATATATATATATATATATATATATATATATATATATATATATATATATATATATATAATATTGACCTGGAAAGTTCAAGGTAAAGGTTGACGTCAGGTCACGTGACCTCAAGGTCATCATGTATATAATTCGATGCGCCTTGACGAGCTGAACACAATGAGACCATCCGCGCGGCTGTATCTCGTTACATGACTGTAAGGAGTGATTAGCAAAACACTTTTGACCCTTGATGATGTCACATGACCTTACAGTTACCCAAGAGCAAAAAAGGCCTTAAGGTAGTCAAGGTTGGTCCTATATGAAGTCATTCATGGTATATTGGGCCATTCTGACGCGTTTTAATGGAAAAAAATAGGGGGTTGATTTTCCCCATTGACTTGTAATGGGAGGTCAAGAAATTGAACTGACCTTAGGTCATCGATATAAAAATCAGAGATATACAAATCGTAGCTAGCAATAACCTCATTACATCCTACGACTTTCAAAGGCTTCCGTCATTTACCGTATCTCTGACACAGTGACAAAGTTGCAAAAAGGTGATTTGAGGTTGGGTCATTCGAAGTGACCTGGTGACCTGACCTTGAAAGGTAGCAGGTTCAAACTTGCACACCATGTGTGAAATTGATGAGGGAAAAGTAATGTCAAATTTAGTGGCGCTATGCGCCGCGGTTTTTCCACTATTCACGAAAAACCTCGGGGGGGGGGGGGCGGTTACCCACTCCCCCGTCGGTGCGCGGGTTAATATACCATACCAGGGGTGTGATCTTAGTATGCCACACTGCAGTGCGCAATTAAAGCATTTACGGTACCTGCGATAGTGGATGGCATACTGTTTAAGCTCGCAGCTCTGGGAGGGTGGCCGGCCTACCCTCTGCAGCAGTGTCCGAGCTCCCTATCCCCATCCGTCTCACACAAAATGTCCAGCAGTTTTGAGACGAAACGCTGGCGCATCTCTGGGCCCACGTGGATCTCGTCGTCGCATTCGTCGAAAATCTCCTCTACGACAATGTCAGTGGAGTTGGCGATTTGTTTGACGGGGCGGCACACGCGCTGCGCAAAGTCGAACGTCTCCGGTAGCATGGAAGACCACACCAGCAGTCCCGGCACCTGGAACGTCCGCATGGTTGTCATTCGCAGTGTAGCGAGGTTGCGAACAGCTCCAGTTTCATTGGTTCATTTTCAGGAGCATGCTATGTTAGCCTAGCACTCCAAGGCTTCGGCAGCTGGATCGACTCACAATCCCGCGTTCATAGACTCGCTAAGGGAATTAACGGTTTTCAACGGCTATTTCAATCTCAAATTTGACAAATAGCTGGGGTAATAACCGTATCAAAACTACCTGCAAATGACCTTGTTACGAGCGAGCGAGCGCAGCGAGCGAAGCGAGTCTTTTCATTACGAGCGAGCGAGCGCAGCGAGCGAAGTGAGTCTTTTCAATATAACGGAAAAATCTCAGTATGAGCGGCCCGGCCCGGCCCGGCCCGGCCCGGCCCGGCCTGTAACGCTTTTGAGAGGCTTATATCTCAGCAACCGCTGGACCGATTGGCCTGCGGTCTTTTTTGTTGGGTAGCCCCATCCCTTCTACCCCGTAATTGACTACTTTTGATACATCTCAGTGACCGTCGTGGCACGTGCCACGTGGAAAGTCAGGGGTGTTCAAGCTGTTTTGCAAAAGTAGTGATTTTGAGAGGCTCATATCTCAGCAGCCGCTTGGGCGATTGACTTGCGGTAATTTTTGTAGGGTAGCAGCACCCCTTCTACCCAAAATAGGATACTCTCGATGTATGTGGGTCACCCCCAGTGCACGTGCAAAATACAACAATAAGAGGTGCCAAATTTGTTCCCATTTCAGTAACTCGGTAATTACTGGGGCGATTTCGCTGAAACTTGGCATACAGGTAGGCACCCACCAGGCATTGCATTCCCATGTGTTGCGGTTAGGGTGCTACTGCACGTGCGCACGTGCAGGGGGCGTTTCCAGATCTCGAGAACGGCTGGGCCGATTGCGCTCAAATTTGGTACACGGTTGGGGACCAGTTAGTAGGGTGCCGTGCAAAAGTCATTTTGGACCCCGTTTGCACGTGCGCACGTGCAGAATGCCGCTGCCAGATCTCAGGAACGGCTGGGCCGATTACGTTCAAATTTGGCACACCGCTAGCGACCGGTTAGAAGGGTGCTTTGCACAAGCCCGTTGGAAGCGCCCTCTCGCCCTTCCGCACGTGCAGGGCTCACTATCTCGCTCGCTCGTTCTTCGCCCAAAAGGCGTTTTACTGGTTATAACGGAAAAATCTCAGTATGAGCGGCCCGGCCCGGCCCGGCCCGGCCTGTAACGCTTTTGAGAGGTCTATATCTCAGCAACCGGAGGACCGATTGGCCTGCGGTCTTTTTTGCTGGGTAGCCCCATCCCTTCTACCCCGTAATTGACTACTTTTGATACATCTCAGTGACCGTCGTGGCACGTGCCACGTGAAATGTCAAGGGTGTTCAAGCTGTTTTGCAAAAGTAGTGATTTTGAGAGGCTCATATCTCAGCAGCCGCTTGGGCGATTGACTTGCGGTAATTTTTATAGGGTAGCTGCATCCTTTCTACCAAAAATAGGATACTCTCAATGCATGTAGGTCACCCCAGTGCACGTGCAAAATACAACAATAAGAGGTGTCAAATTTGTTCCCATTTTAATAACTCGGTAATTACTGGGGCGATTTCGCTGAAACTTGGCATACAGGTAGGCACCCACCAGGCAATGCATTCCCATGTGTTGCGGTTAGGGTGCTACTGCACGTGCGCACGTGCAGGGGGCGCTTCCAGATCTCGAGAACGGCTGGGCCGATTGCGCTCAAATTTGGTACTTGGTTGGAGACCGGTTAGTAGGGTGCCGTGCAAAAGTCAGTTTGGACCCCGTTTGCACGTGCGCACGTGCAGAATGCCGCTTCCAGATCTCAGGAACGGCTGGGCCGATTGCGTTCAAATTTGGTACACCGCTAGCGACCGGTTAGAAGGGTGTTTTGCGCAAGCCCGTTGGAAGTACCCTCTCGCCCTTCCGCACGTGCAGGGCTCACTATCTCGCTCGCTCGTTCTTCGCCCAAAAGGCGTTTTACTGGTACTAACATAGAGCTTATAGGCAGGATGATTATGTGCGCAGTGCGTGGCCAATCATGCATTATGACCATGGACTAACAGAGAGCTTATAGGCAGGATGATTATGTGCGTTCCATCATGCATTCGCACATGATCTCTTAGAAAACTGTATGCAAACGTTTCGAGACCTACGTCTCTGCTTGCTTTCTCAATCCTTTGACTAAACACATGGAAGGCCAGAGGAAATGTCCGCACTCACCTGACGTTGAAGGTCGAAGAAGAGGGCGTGTGACATGGTGAGCTTTCTCTGCACCGTATCCTTCCTGTCCAGAGGTAAGGCATCGGTGATGACGGCCTCTTCCAGGCGCCATACGACCGTCGTGTGCGAGACCAGCTCCGTCAGCACCTCTCTGAGCGCGCCCACGTGGTCTCTCATCATCATCGCGCCCGTCATCGGCGTGTTGATGACGTCCCTGATGGCGTCGAACGCTCTGAGGTACCACATGCCTCCGTTGAGCACCACCAGGTCCGGGCAGCCGTCCGCACCCGCCCGACACTCGGCCACGAGGCTCCGCAGTTTGCCGGTGAACAGGGTGTGCAGGTAGGGCCGCCGCCAGAAGTCCACCTGCAGCAGGTCGTTGCCCACCAGGTGACTGCAGAATTTGTCAAACTTTCGGCACAAGTCGCGGGTGGTTGAGAGCTGGTGACGGCGCAGCGGGCCTTCGGGCACGTCCTCGGCGCGCACGTCCACCGGCTCTGAGCCGTTCGCCAGCTGCAGGAAGGCGCTCAGCTGCTGCTGCAGGATCCGGGCCCGGGAGTCGCCGACCAGCACGAGCCGCGCCGGCCGCCGGAGCCGCGCGGCGCGCCGCCGCAGGCAGGCTGTCACCGCGGCTGCGTCCATTGAGCCGGAGCGGCAGGCGCCCGGGTGGGGGTGGCGGTCCACACAGCCCAGCAGTGAGGAGCTCAGGCGCAGGATCCGCTGGCAGCCGGGGGACGGACCCCTCTCCGGACCTGTCACAGACGGAGCGGGAACGTCACAGCGAGTCTTTCGCCCTATACTGACCAATTGACCGCATCTGCTCAAACTAACCCGGAATGGCAAAGCTGGTGAGTCGACCACTGACTAGTGCGCTGCATTGATTTGGCACCTGCCGGGACACAAGTGTCCCTGTGTGGCTAACCATTCAGCCGTTTAAACGGTCACGCCAGAGGGATGTGCTGCCAGTGGGCCTGACCCTGCGCCGATGTTCTGGCGGGTTGAGTCTTCCCGAATCTTATGATCAAGAGCGAGAATAGAATCAATTCAGGGTGTTTGATAGGAATCATATATTCTTTACTCGGTGTCGGGGAAATTGGGAAAAATGTGCCCATCAAATAACTTCCAATGACCTGACTTTTAACCCGCGCCCGGCTGGGGGTCTTGGATTTCCACGCCCTGCTGGGGGGGGGGGGGGGTGTTTGAACACCCCCCCTTCTAACTCGGCTCCTGGGCCACGTAGCGACACGCGGAAGGCGGCGTTCGAAAGAGCGTCAAAAATAATGAGGAAATCACTTCGGTCAATTTTTTGGTCAGGTCAAAGGTCAGGTCACCAGAGGTCATTGAAGGCAAAATTTCGCCGATTTCAAGGTCGAATGTCGACAATTTCCAAGAAGCCAACGCATAACTCGGGAACCAATAGAGCTACAGCGCCGCGGAAAAGCGCATTCGATAGCCCTATTAACGCCCTTTCTGAGTTATTTCCTCAGATTTGACCTAACGTCAACGGTTTTGCCTGCAGGGGGCAAAAACTGCAAAAATAGCCGATTTTTTCGGAAACAGTTTTTCTGCAATAACTTTTGACTCAAGCCTTGTACGAGCTTACTTTTACCGGCATCGTGTTCCTCTCGTCAAGACGCATCGAATGAACTATAACTTGACCTTGAAAGGTCAACTTGAAAATTTGACCTCAGGTCAAGGTCATGACCTGACCGGAAAGGGTCATGTTGCATATCAGTCGATCCGTATCGTCGAGCTGAACACATCTAAGGCGTTTTCATCGCTCTAGCATGCCTCTATCAAAAGTTATTTGCGAAAAACTGTTAGATACTATTCGTGACCTAAGATGACCTCAGGGCATAAACAGGGGTCACGGACACCATTTTCATGTTCAGTGTGTCTAAACCACTTGTAATTCAGTGTTTGGGAGTGTTTATAATGTCTTTCGTCCAAAAGAGGCGCATTTCAATTTTCTCCCATTGACTTATAATGGGGAGGTCGCAAAATTGACCTGACCTTAGGTCATCGATATCAAAATTCTGAGATATACATTTTGTACATGCTATTGCTCTTAGCAATCGCTGAAAGTTTCAAAGCGATCGGTCACTCGGTGTAGCTATGACAGACATTGAAACTTTTTATGAGGTGAGGTCACTTCAAGTGACCTGGTGACCTGACCTTGAATGACCTTGGTCTGAAATTTTCACAACATGTGTAGAATTGATGTATGATAAGGTATACCAAAAACGGCGGCGCTCCGCGCCGCCGTTTTTGAGATATTCGCGAAAAACCACAGGGGGGGGGTGTTCAAACACCCCCCCAGCAGGGCGCGGGTTAATCAGGCACGATGATGACCAAATAATAAGTACCCTCATGATTTTCGACGTTACCCACGAGCTGAGTTATGGGACGTTAAAATTTTCCCACAACTTGATATGTTGCGGTCAGACCACCACCCTAGGTTGGGTTAAGCAGTAGGTAAGCACGTGTCCCTGAAGGATATGTTTTGAAAATGAAACAAGAAAATATAGTGTAGAAATGGCGACCGGTGCCCATCGTCCATAAAGGCTATAAGGTATTAATGACATAGTGAGTTGGCATGTTGTTGGACCTTTTACCCATAGCTTCTGACCTTCCATATTCAAAATGGAATATTCATATTCAAAATTGTACCAAAGGTATGACATGGTATGACCTTAAAAAATATGCACCAGCACCCTGCCAAATAAAAATTAGAGAAGCCGTGATGGACGACACAGAAATGTAAGTGATTATACAGTGGTGATTGGCCTAACAACGATTTTTTTTTTCAAGTCAGTTAATAAATTTGCACGTGTGTAGGACCAGGTAAAATCTACAAAAAGATACAAAACCAAGGCATCAGAACAGCGTAATCTCTCCCCAGGGAAGCATCTGACATCACAGAAAAAAAGAATTTCATCGACTTGCCTGATATCAGTCCAATGCCGGCGATGAAGCTCAGAGCTAGCAGGGCGGTCACGGCGGCGCATTGTCTCCGACAGCGCCTCCACGGGACTATCATCACACCGCCCTGACCGTCAGCTCCCTTTTTGTCACATCGTCACACCCAGGAGCACCTCTGACACGCCACGCCGTCACACTAGCCACACCCCGGTCCCCGGCGACCGGCCGCTGCCGGCTGTCCGGAGACGCGCGGTTCCTCTGAGCGGCTCGTCTCGCACGCACTCCTTGTCCGAGGTCATGGTTGGCCAATGGCCAGGGTCAACGGCCCGGGCCGCCAAGGCCGGGGCTGGTCTGGGGAGGTGGGCCGGTCCCGGGGAGTCGGCACCCGCCGCTGGGAGGGTCGCTTTTCTCTCTGTCTCTCCAGCGGATACAGGCCCTCTATGCCGTGATACGGTGGCGTATCCGGGGGGATACCATTCTCCCCCTGGAGCCTACATTTTTTTCTCGAAAAAATGAAATGGCTTCGAGGGCCATTTTGACTAGGTACTAGTAAAGGAAGCTTGCTTTTGACCACTTCCCTACAATTTATTCATACTGAAAAGTAGGTACCCGGAGCCCTGATGTTGAAACAGGTATCCTCAGGCATGCACGGGCCCTTTTAGGTCAGCGGGGGACCTTATGAGGCAAAAGAGGGCGCTCTGAGGCCAACCGAGGGCCCTCTAAGACAAACAAACGCGCAACGGGTGAATATACTGCCCTTTTCCTTCACCTGGCGTCCCTCAGTCTGTCTCTCGAAGGGTGACGCTGCCGTGCGCAAATCGTAGCTCAGGGGCCTCGGCGACCATTCCTTCTTCACAATAATAGGTAGGTAACAGCAAAAAGTGACGACCGAGTACGGTGATGTCAGTGGCGGACGATCGGCCACTCGCGGGCTGCAGTCCACGTAGGAGAACAAACGTGAACAGAAACAAATAAAGGCAAAGGTGGCAAAAGACTGAGGAGATTGAAAAGGTTGATAATGTTACTTCCCGTACCTACTGAGTTAAATCGGCTACGTTGATAAAATGTAGAGTTGAAGTAGAGAAATGCTCTCCTTTATAATCGGGCGTTAACCGTTCCAACATTTTTTGGTTTTTCATTCACTACTTCTGGGCAACTTTTTGATGCAATAGTTAGGTAAGAAGTACGCCATCCCCCTATTCCAGCGAGTGCAAGCTTCTTGCATGGCCTCGGATGGTTAAATGCCACCCACCGAAGAAGCGAAATTATGGGTATCGTGGGTATGGGAGTCTATGGTTGTCATTGTATTTGCACAGGCTGCGAGATGTGTAGAAAAACGGTGAAATCCGCAGATACCTGCAGCATATACCCTTTCGTTAAATGAGTCCAACTTGATTCTAATTCCCTCGAGTCTCCTGGCTGACTATGGTTTTCCAGGTGCACAGGCACTTCCTGTTTGCAATTGCATCATGTTCAATCGGCTTTATATTCACACACCATCCACTAAATGTCTCTTTCGTTTGCCACACTGCAGACGGAGTTGTCAGTAAATTCGGGATAAGTGTCATTAGCGTGAAGTGTCGTACGTTTTACCTACTGGGACCAGAGTGAAATGAATGTGACAATTTAAACTTCGCCTATTTTTTCATTCTGAATAGGAACCGTCCAGAAATTGAGCAACAATGGCCTGTTGGAGGGAAATTTGAATAAACAAAAAACAAGTAAAAGTTAAAACAATTTAGAATCCAGCGGCGTGGTTCCACCTTTCCTTCGGCTCCATTGTCACCTGTTGCAAACTGGTGTTTGGTAACAATTAAACGGTTTCATATTTCCGACAGATGAGAGAACACATCACATTAACAAAGACCCTGTACTCATGACAAAAATCAAATCAAAAGTAAACAACAATGGAACACATGCCAGCCCGTGTGCCACCATGTCACAACAGAGAGCTGTTATGCAGCGCCGCACTGCCACCTGACGGCCACGGGCGCAACTATAAGGTACCGGCGCGCCGTCGTGACTCGTGATGGTGTGCCTGTGGCACTCACGCTGACATGGAGCCTGGAGAGCGAGCCAGTGCCTGCTGCCAGAAAGCCATCTCACTTATTGTCACGTAAGCGATAGGCCCCACTCCTGATTGATTGGCCCATGTCCACATTCATTGTGACACTCGTTTATCCATAGAGAACACCCGCATCTAGCCCCGCTCGTCATGGGACATCGCTGGGGCTGCACCCATTACAGTTACAGTGGTAGGAGAGACGTTCTCGGAACGGAATGTAGCGTATGCTTCCTCATCGAGCACCACAAACAATGTCAGGCATGAAAAGACTTCCTCAAAGACCTAACGTTCTGCGTTCGTAAGGATCAAGTTTTTGCCTTCTCAAGGCAATTTTGGATTTCATTTGTACACAACATGACTGCTGCCTGTTCGAGCCTTTTTAGAGCAGAAACCGACAATTTTCAACAATATCCGAAAGATAGCCCTCGTCCTACCTCAGCCTTTGATACATTCATCACAGGTAACTTGTACGTAAACAGCCTGCACATTGTACAATGCGCAATGACATTAATGTCTTACACCGGCTGTAACCCATCCACCACACACTAAGCGCCAATGGAGGCCACGGCCCGTCCACAGCTCGCACTTCCAACGTCACCTCACCAATCGTCTCTCCCTTTCAGCTCATACAGCGTCGAAAGCGTCACAACGGCACCCACTTCAGTCCCCACTGACTGGTAACATAAAAATCACAGCAACTTTTCAACAGTGGGCGGACGGCCGCGGGACAGGAACGGCTCATCAAATACCTTCCGACCGCAGAAAACAGACGTCAGTAATGCGTCACACGTCACTGACGGTACTGCTACGTCACTGATGTAATGCCTACACACTAACGCAGCGCCTTATGTCACCGAACAGTGCCACAGCGGCACCCGGGTCGTCTTTGGTTCAGGCTGCGTTGTTGTCGCCGGCTGCTGGGTGGTCTGCGGCGGCGGCGGGGGCGGCCGGGGCGGTCTGGATCCGTACCGAGCCGCCGCTGTCGCCGTTATAACACACCAGCAGGGTGCTGGCGGCCGACCGGGGGTCGGTGGTCGCCGGCGCCGGCGGCGGCGGCACCAGGATGATGTCAGAGCTGGGCTCCCTGCTGTCCTCGAGCGCGTCCTCCCGGATGGACTCGGCCACACACGGCTGCGGAGAGATGGGGCAGAGGTCACACGCGGCTTAAAAGACGGGGTGAGACGCACGCTGGGACGCTTATTACTTAACTGTGCCACATTCATTTTTCAGGTTATTTAGGTGCCATATTGAATAGCGAGAGAAAGTGTCATGAAATTCGGTAAAGTAAGTACTTGTCATTGGATTCTGCAGATGAATATGTCCTGTGTTAAGCTTAGAGATAAAAATAATAGAAGCGTATAATAATAGAAGCGACTACAGAATGATGTTCCACTCCTCAGAAGCTATCAGTTGACCGGAGCGCTAAGTTGTGCCGTTTATCACGCAATTAAGCGTGTTGATTGTAAGCATTGGGACAAAGGTATAATTTGTGAACTCAGCCCGTATGATGCGGCACAGCCTACCACTCCAGGCAAATAATTGCCTGTGAAAAGTGGAACATCATTCTGTAGTCGACTATACATCATGCTGATGTACGTCTCGCCTTCGACAAAAAGTCTCATGGTGAGCTGGAACAGAAATCTTTTCGGATCACTCTTAGTCCGAACAGCTGACACCATTTCAGGCGAGAACGTACACACAAAGACCCAAGCAATCCATGACGTTCGCCGACCTCATCCCGCCCAAAACGTGCCCCGGAGGCATCGACTGCTTCTCATCGTCGACGAAAGGTTCAATCGGCAGGAACAGAAACTTTTCGAACCGGGCACTTAGCGCCGGTCTTCGCATCAATCTAACTCCTTTCATCTGAGACATCGAGTACGATAGTCATCCTTCTGAATTGAACATTTACTAAGACACTTTAAACCGGAACCAGCACCGTTCCTTATATGCCGTAGGCAAAAGTAGACAACTTAAGCCACTCTTCACTTTGATGGCTCACTTGACGAATCTAATAATGCCGATGAGTCAGGACACAGTCCGATGAGTACACACTGCGCGGAGTGGAGGAGGGACAGACGTTTGATGTTGTTCGGGCCGGCAGGTCTCAGCCGGTTTAATTGGAGCTTGTGCAAACACTCGGGCCACTCGGCCGGCCGTGTTGAGATCCGCTCGAGGCGCGTGGCACGCCGCCCTTTACCAGCTCGTGCTGCTGCTACGCTGCGGGTCGGCGGCCCGCGCGGATATCCGTGTCAGTAATTCAAAATGAGTGCACACTGCACATTGGCTCCATGAAGCCGTCTTATTGTACTCAAATATTGGGGGGAGTTCAAAACGAGTGCACATTGGCTCCATGAAGCCGACTTATTGTACTTGGTTTCCTTGGAGTTTTTTTTCTGCAAGCTTTTAAAGATAGATAGATACGTGGAATTATTTGATGATTCTTAGAATTATTAATTGTTTATAGTCCGCAGTTGCGACTTTCCTGTTTACCGCGCCTTTTTCGCGAGAAGGTTGAAAAAGCTCGAGAAGGTTGAAAAAGCACATAACAAAACTAATCGGGTATTTTGTCACATTGATGTCCTCTCCTGAGGCCCGTTTTAATCTTGGCGACAACGGCCCCCCCTCGTTAACTTCTCGTTAGTTCCTCGTTAATTGCTGAGATGTGTCATTAGTACTTATTTAGCTGCCTAGCTCAAACTTTTGTTAATTGTGTGACTATCAGGCAAAAGGAAGATGGCTAGATGCACATCGTGTTTTGTTCCGCTCGTTGCATCGTATTTGTTTCGCGTTTTGTTTTGTTTTGTTTTGTATTGTTTTGTTTTGTTTTGTTCCGCTCTGTCGTAAAAATGTGCGTTATTCAGTCATTCCGTCAAAAGACATGCACACTGCACAAGCACTTCAATACAGTTCAGCTTCAACACGCAATTTGAAAGGTCATTGACAAAACAATGTTCTGAACGTAATGCGTTATCATTTGCTTCTTCGCTCGTTTTTTTTTTTTAGTAGTTAAATATTCTCCATGTGCCGGCAAAAATATTGCAATTTTTCATGCTTGGAATCATATGAATACCTTGGTTGGCGCCTTGGCGGCAAATCTCAAAATCGACCATTGATTTCATCTACACTGGATTAACCTTTTTAGGCTAATACGTCAAAAAATTTGCATTTAAAGCACACAATTTCCAGAGTGTCGACGAATGGGCAATGAGGACTTATTGAGCAGAGGTTCACCGTAGATTTACATGCATTTTCCATTAGCACACCGATGAGCAGTCAGACGGAAAATGACGTTTTACTCATTTAGCTTTGGGGATCCCGAGATGCGGCCAGCGTCAAATGAAGGCAGAGCGGCAAATCGAAACTGGAGCCGGGCTTATGTCTCGGAGGTTGTAACCGTATACCGCAGCTGAATTCACAATGACCATGATAGACTCGAGCACTTGAGTTCAGGTAGGAAGAATGTTTACGACTGCTCTTCGTACATTACGTTTGAAAATGAGAGTAAATTATCATTTATTTTCGTTAAATGCACTGCGGGACAGGCACATTTCAGGAGATACCTCCACAAGTGTCATTTGAGTGGTAATTTCACGCTAACCCTGCTACATTGGCGTGACACGTCAGCGACTTCAGCACCTCGCCTCAGCAACGATGGAAGCAGAGGCCCCTCAGCGGTAAAAGCCCGCTCTTTCTCAGCAAACACTTGTGTCCTCCAGTGTCCGTGAGCACCAGATCCTAATCGGCCTCCGTACGACCTGGGGGGGGGGAGGGGGCGGCGGTTCCGGGGGAGGGGGCGGCGGTTCCGGGGGGAGGGGGCGGCGGTTCCGCTTCCTGCCAGTCTCCTCAGCCGGCCAGTGTGTGCATTCATTTCCCGTCATTGTCGGAGCCGTTTCTTCATTTGTGTGATGGCTCTGTAACTGTCAGTCGCAGCACCCCTTCCTCCCGTGACTCTCTCCCCTGCTCCGCGCTCTCTCCTGTGCTCCTCTCTCTCCCCAGGGCCGGGCGATAATCACCGTTGGGAGCTGCGGACACACACGGGGCCGCCGGCGACCAAACAGACTCCCCGCGGACAAACAGCCTCCGGCGCGGGCCGCACGGTAGTCACGGCCGCTCACCACAGCACAATGACAGCGCGATGGGGCCATCGTCACTGGCGGCGACCGCAGTCCACAGGTGGCAGAGGGAGAAAGAAAGGGAAAGAAAAGAAAGGGTGGAACGAGCGAGGGAGGGAGAGCAACGGTGAGAGAGAGAGAGAGAGAGAGAGAGAGGAGAGAGAGAGAGAGAGAGAGAGAGAGAGAGAGAGAAGAGAGAGAGAGACAGAGACAGACAGAGAGAGACAGAGAGAGAGACAGAGAGAGAGAGACAGAGAGAGAGACAGAGAGAGACAGAGAGAGAGAGAGAGAGAGACAGAGAGAGAGAGACAGAGAGAGAGAGAGGAGAGAGACAGAGGAGAGAGAGGACAGAGAGAGAGAGAGAGAGAGACAGAGAGAGAGAGAGACAGAGAGAGAGAGAGACAGAGAGAGAGAGAGAGACAGAGAGAGAGAGACGAGAGAGAGAGAGACAGAGAGAGAGAGACAGAGAGACAGAGACAGAGAGAGAGAGAGAGACAGAGAGAGAGAGAGAGAGAGAGAGAGAGAGACAGAGAGAGAGAGACAGAGAGAGAGAGACAGAGAGAGAGACAGAGAGAGACAGAGAGACAGAGAGACAGAGAGACAGAGAGACAGAGAGACAGAGAGGCAGAGACAGAGACAGAGACAGAGACAGAGACAGAGACAGAGACAGAAATGCTCACACTTTGTTAGTTACAAACAAAGTTACAAAAGTGTGCCTATTTTTTGTTGTAATTACTTCATACGTGGCGTTTCCCCATACCATAAAAACGCAAATGTCATTGCAAAGACAGGCGCAGTGCACGTCGGTAAACATGTTATCCGGGTTGTTGTGCATCATCGTTGACGAATCACCGAACTCTTTTCCCTGAAAATTTTGTAAACGGAAACTAATACATCCACAATAACCAGCACTAAAGTCCGCTATCTTTTCAGCGGACAAAGTGACTTCCTTTTTTGGTCTAACAACAATAATAAATATTCGTTATCCAGAGATTCGACATTGGGTGGTCAATAAGTCTCGACGGCCGATAGAAATACATCTCGACCGGCATTATCCGGTCGACAATAGTCCAAACGCTGTCCAGAGACGGATAAAGAATGTAAGGATAGACGGTGCCAGTGGGACCCGAGCTTTAGACCTATGCTGTGGTTTGAACTGTACAAACAGTCGGGTGGCCAAATTGGTTCTTTATAATTAACCCGCGACCTGGTGGGGGGGGCTATTTTTTGCCCCCCCCTCCAGACTTTTCGATATATCTCCAGAACCGCTGCGCCGATCGTCACCAAACTTTCAGTACCCTCCCGGACATCAATTTTACACATTGTGACCAAAAATTTTTCCAAAAGCTATGATAGGTTGGCCGGAAATGACGTCAGAGTGACGTCATGTTCTGCCGTTTTCGACCCAAAAAAGGGTTTCGCGGGAAGAGCTGTCAGGCCTATAGCTTTGCAAATACAGAAAAATGTTTAGGACATAAAAGCTGTAGAATTGACAGGGCTACAAAACTGCTATCTCGGATTTTTTATTTTTTTATTTTGACCCCCAAAAAACAAAAAATAGATTTTTGGGATATAATAGTCAAAAAATCCAAAAAGTTTTTTTGAATTTCGCAAAAACCGGAATATATGTGATAGTCCTTACCGCATTCCATCCACATACCAAATTTTAGATTGATACCTCTATTTTTGGCGAAGTTATAGCGAAAAAACTGTTCAAAATTGATGACGTCAAATTTTCAAACTCAATTTTTAGCAATTCTAGACCTCGTAGTGCAAAACAAAGACCACCATTAGACTCCCCGTGAGGAGCTGCATCGAATCGATACCCATTTTATGCAAAAATATCAACTTTTAAATTTGACCTTTTTTGACCTGACCTTGACCTGACCTCCACCAGAAAGTGACCTAAACCGTACCTGATGGTCTTATAACCAACACCATTGGGTTGGAAATGAAAAACTGGCCATAAAACATGCATCGCACAACCTTAGTAAAGTTGGGTTCATGTGGTGACCCTTGGTGACCTTTGGTGACCTGACCTGTGACCTGACCTGGTATGACCAGTGACCTCTAATAGCAACATATGTACTAGACAACTGACGTCTTATCGCTGATTTTCGACAAAATGCGTTTTACTCGGTGTTATAGCGCTTTCCCTAGAAGCCCCGTGAACGGTGAAACATTTTATCTTTGACCTGACCTGTGACGTCATCGGTGACCCCGAGGTCAATAAAATTTGGTTTCCATCGACAAATTTGACAGGGCTATCGAACGCCGTTTGAATTTTCCGGATCCGTCCAGTAGTTTCGGAGATACGAGGGGGGCAAAAAATAGCCCCCCCCCACCAGGTCGCGTTATAAACAGACCCCACCAGGGCGCGGGTTAAGTTGCTAGGAGATACCTACTTGCATTTCTTGCATTGCTAACTTGTGTGGGCCTAGCATTCTTCGTTGGACTCACCATTTCGTTTACGTTTTGAAATTTGAAGCGAACCATTCGTCGGTACCGTAAAATGAATGGAACCAAATTATCTCAATAGTTTCACAAATTCCGTAGATTATATTGAAAAAAACGCAAAATCCACAAAATCCGTCATAAGCAACATCAGGAAACTGATGGTACTTTACGGTGAATACTAATTCCATTACAAGTCATCCATTCCACCAGATTTCCATATTATTCCCTATAGCTTTCCCAACGGCCATCATCCTACCGATTTGAATGCACCGATGGCCACTGGCAGGGTTTCGGGTTTACTCTCAATGAAGCCCTGCGCCTTTGAGAAGAGAAGAAATATCACAGCACATACTCACCAAGCAAAAACCCCTATAGGATGGCAACCATCCTCCTTAGTTTACGGGCAAGGGCTAAAAGGCTGAAAAGGTACGGAGACTGTTCCGCTATGAAAAACAAGCATGAAAGGCACAGACATAGGAAACTTTACCCGAGACATTAAGAAAATCCAAAAACGGACTAGGTATACCAGGTGGGCTGTAATGTCCTGAATGACACTTGTATGGGAAACACATATGTAGACGTCAGTAAAGACGGCTTAGCGGTGTAGCTGAAACTATTGATGTGCTTAGCTGACGAGTGACGGATGCCAGTAATGTCCTTTCAATGCTTCTAACATGTCTTCCTGATATGCAGCATTGACGTCAGTAACGCCAAAGAGTAAAACATGCCGAAGTGCACCTTTTAAATATACAAATACCTATCCAGAAGGAATACGTGAGGGTCGGTGGTTTGCAACCTGCAGGTAGGAAGCTGTGAACCATGCATAATCAGTTAGTTCGCAGCGATTCCAATTGTGTCAAGAACGAGTTGCCCGTTCAGGTTCGTTATAATGAGCATAACGTAACTAAATGTTATATACGGGACGTTACGATAAAGCATACAGTATCACGAGGAAACTAACCAGTAAGTTTATAACTACCCTGGGCTGTTACAAACTAACTAGGTGCTTTGTGCAATGAAAACTACATGAAATTATAAGAAATTTCCTAAATAACTACGAAGGAAAACAGGAGAAATGCATAAAAAAAAATAAAAATTGTGCAGATTTACACTTAAGAAAAATAATGAACACTTCTCACTAATCTTAACATTATCACATGCCTTGCTTCGTTGCGCCTGCTTCTTCACTACAAAATATGATCAAGCATGACAGCAGAGCCAACCGTAGTTATGCCGAACCCAAGAAGAAGCAGCGGCAGGTTTGTTACAGCAAGCTAACACCGATATGAAAGCGACATCGCGACGGCGGGACTTGGAATCAGGATGGCGGAAGCAGTGTAACAGTAAAATGACGAGGCAAGGGCGGCATGGTTGCATTGAGCAGTACGACAGCTCGGTATGGCGGCAGCGGGCAGAGGAACATCATAAGCAGCAAGACAGCAGCAGCATGAGAGCAGCAGCAGCAGCAGCAGCATGTCGGCAGCACCAGGCAAACATCAAGCAGTCGCAGAGCGTCGCCTCAGCTGGGGCGGCGCCGCAGGGTGTCAGCGAGGCGGCCGTCGTGCCCACCTGTCTGGCGGAGGAGCCTTTGGCCGTGATGGCCGCCACGAGCGGGGACGGCGTGCGGCTCTGGCCGCCGGCCTCGGACGGCTTCTCCATGAGCGTGGTGCTCTGCACCGAGCTGCGGCCCGTGCTTCTGGCGAACACCGGCGCCCGTTAGTCGACCGAATGGGACCGAGCGGGGACCGAGCGGGACCGAACAGGATCAAACATGGACTGAGAGAGCCTGAACAGGACCAAACGGGGACCGAGAGGGACTGAACAGGACCAAACGGGGACCGAGAGGGACTGAACAGGACCAATCGGGGACCGAGTGGGACCGAACAGGATCAAACATGGACTGAGAGAGCCTGAACAGGACCAAACGGGGACCGAGAGGGACTGAACAGGACGAAAAAGGGACTGAGTGGGATTAAGAGGGACGAAAAATGACGGAACACGGGCCGAGCACGAGACCGAAGAGACCAAACGGGGGCCGAGCGGGACTAAACAGGACTAAAGAAGACCAAACTAAACAGAAACCAAATAAGGACCAAGGACTAAACTGAACAGTGAACAGGATGGGGATCGAACAGACCGAACAAGGACCAAGCGGAACTGGGCGGGAGCCGAACCCCCGGACTGTCGTTATGACGACTGAGCCCACCACCAACAGTTAGGCAACCGAAAAGGAAAGTCAGCGGAAATTGAGAGCAGTTGAGAGCAGCAGTGAGAGCATTATGTGTCGTATCAAGGCCCCGGAATTCAGTCGTCAGTTATGTGACTTTATTTTGTAACATAAACAGGGTAAGAAATGTGAATATCAAGAGTTCTAAATTGACCATGAAGATGACTAAAAACGGTTGGATTTTATTCACTCTTTGTGCTATGAACAATGTGTGATAAGCAAATGAGAAATCAATCCGCCCGACACAAATCGTCTCCCAAAAACCACTGTATTTTTGCCTCCCCAACAATCCGACTTGATTTTCTGAAGTTGATCTCGCGCAATTTCTCGCCCTTGTGTGAACTTCACACTTCCGTATCACAGTTCACATCACATCCCCCCCTGATCCTCAAGATCACATTACACCTCTTGGCGATGTCTGAGGTCACGGACGTGCCACGGGGCACCATCTACCTCCATCACCTGAGGCGATATAAAACCAGTTACCACCCCTCGCCGAGACTGCTCCCCACATCGCGTTTTTGGGACCCTCATCCAGACTTCGTCGCCTATCCTATACCCGCCATCTTCTGCATCTTCCGCACGTGCTGTCGGTGGCGCCTCGTTCCTGCCGTCAGTGGCGCCGGCCAGCACTCTGTCCCGCACCCTGTACTTGTAGACCTGGGCGGCGGGAGATGTTTCAGCTCGTTCCCCGTCTTGTGGTATCACATTATATAAATGCACAGCTTCTGTGACAGAACACTGTTTTCTTGCCATAATCACTTTTACCGACCGGTGATTACGTTCAACTATCCCATTGCCACTCGGTTGATGGACCGCGCGAAAGCGCAGCCGCACTCCCCAGCTGGACATGAAGGCTGAAAACTCTCGACTTCGAAAAGCCGTGTCGTTGTCTGCCAGGACTTCTTCGACGGCTCCGCGCTCGCTGAAGATTTGATCCAGCTCCTCAGTCACGTGTGCGGTGTCAGCCCGCCGCAGCCGCCGCCACAGACTGAACCGAGACGGTCCACAGTCAACAACTGTGAGATAGAGCTGACCTCGGAAATGAGTGATGTCAATGGCCAGACGGGACCATGTCTCCTTGACGCTGAGTACGCCGTGTCGCCACTTCACCGGCGCCGGGTCAATGGATCTGCACACATCACACTGTGTGACCACCGCACGCGCGTCCTTCCGGGTCACTGTCGGAGAAACATCACGGCGCGAGAAATATAGCGTGCGCCTTATCCCTGGGTGACCGGCTCGAGCGTGCACGTCTCTGATAGCCGAGTGTAGGCTCGTCGCCTCGCCGCCATCTGCGCCACTGGCCTCGGAACCTGTGCTCACTCCCGTTACACCGTCTGCCCCGGCTGCCGCGCAGACGGGCTCCGGTGAACTGTCCGGCTCCCGCAGCCACGCAGCGGGCACTCGGCTGATGCAGTCCGCCTTGTTCTCTGCCGACCGCACCAGCGTTACTGTGAGTTCGATGTGCAATTCTTCCACGATCTGCCGGATGGTATCTACCCGGCGTCGGATCAGCATCTCTCCTTGGGCTTTAGTCCGGAGCCGTGCGCGACCATTGAGAGCGTCACTGATCCAGCGGTAAACCGTTGACGAATCTGTCTTCAGTTCGACCTTGTTCATGTTCCAAGCTACTGCCAAGTTGAGACCTCGCAAGGCTGCGTCGAGTTCAGCCATGTTGATATGAGCTGTCTCGTCCCGCCGCAGCCAGCAGGCGTCCTCGATGATGTGCCCGTCTGGTGTCTCGAGGACGACTCCGGCAGCGACAGAACTGGCGTCAGTCCAAATCACAGCGCTCTCGCCCTGAACGCTCCAGCGACCGCGTGCAGGGTCATCACTGACCAGCCGCTCCGCTACATACTGGAGCTGATCCAGCAGCATCGGGTCCCTTGTGACGTCATCCCAGCCACTCGTCACCGCGTTGGCGCGGCGCTTTAGCCACGCGGCCGCTGGTCTCAGCCACCCACACACGGGCAGGTGTGCCACCAATCGGCCGCACCACGAGAAGACCGATCGCCGAGTGACAACTTCAGGTGGCTCGCCGACCTCGTTGTCTCTTTTCCACTGCAGCGCTCCTGCCACAGCCCTGACGCGCAAACCAAGCATTCGAGCTCCATCTGCAGCGCGCTCTGGTGGCTTACACTCCAGGCCGTAAGCTGCGAAGTGTTCCACCACTCGGTCTGCGCTGACGATATCTTCGTTCACGCAGAGGTCATCCACGTACGGGATCGTCGCACGCTGTATATCTGCGTCTTGGCACAGGACCGCACGCACCACCGCCTTCATAACTAGCGGCGCGATATTGAGACCGAACCCGACCCTGGTCAAAGCATACCGTGTCCCGTCAACCATCACGGTCTGGAAGGGCCAGAGGCTCGGATCCGTCCTCAGTTGTAGATATGCCCGCTTTAGGTCCACCACGGCCAGGTTTTGTCCGTGTCGGCGCCACCTCCTCAGCGTGTCCGCACAAACGTCTGCATCGGAGGTGTGAGCGGGCACGTAACTGTTCAGCTCACGGTAGTCCATGACTGGCCTGACCTTCGACTTGTTGCCTTGTATCACAGCCATCAGTGGAATCAGTCCGCGCGGTGGTCCGTGAACGTCTTCTTCATACGGTGTGAGCCAGCCGTTCTCAATCCACACCTTCAATTCTTCCTCATACTCGCTTCGGCTCTCCTCAGGCACGGCGTACCCTGGCACATTGTTGTTGAGGTGTGTTGGCTCAGCTCCGTCTCGCCATTTCCAAGCCATTGTCCACGTCTTCTTCTCAGTATCAAACTGCACAGTGAAGTCGGACGTATTCACCGTGGGAACGGCCTGACACGCCATCGCCATCCCACAAAATCGCACGTCGGACGGGGATCCGATTGTAACACCACCAAGCGCTGAGATCCCGGGAACACCGAGAATCAAGTCAACTCCCATTGGCCTGTCTTCCAACACCAGTGCCTCGACTCTTGCCGACTGGCCAGACACCGTCCTCAGCTCAATGGTTGCAACGCCGGCGCAGTACACCGGGTCGCCGCCCAGTGTTGTAACAGCAGTGCGCTGCCGCTCCCATTCCCGACAAACCGATTCATGCACCAGCGTCTCAGTGCAACCGCTATCAACTAACGCCCGACATCTCCTGCCATTCACGATGATGTCGGTGACCGGCAGCGCACCACAGCTTACTGCGCGGGAGACGACGCCTGCGCTGACGCGCCACCTCCCAGCGCGTTTCCCGCCGCCGCGCGGTGTGGACAGCGGGCAGCCAGATGTGTCGGTTCGCCACACACCCAGCAACGGCGCGGCTCCACTGCACCGCGAGACGGCCTCTGCGTTTCCGCATCTGCCGCCGACAACTGGCGTCTTTGGCGGGAGCTCTGAGGCCGTCCTCTGGTCGATGTTGTCGCCATCACCAGCCGCTCGTCTCCCATCACGGAACGAGCCCTTGCAAGTATATCCGTGATCCCCAAACCATCGGCGATGGAGCTGGCTCGCAGTGTCCTCCGTACGGACTCGGGAAGACCGGCGAGAAAGGCGCACTTCAGAGCCCGTTCCGGCACGCCTCCAAAGCGATCTGCCAGCCGTCGAAGAGCAGCGAGGTAAACATCCGCGGACTCCCCAAGCTGCAGCCGCCTTGTCACGAACGCATCGTACGCAGCGCTTTCGTCGAGCGCGAACGCGGCTTGTAAGGCGGCCTTCACGGCCGGTAATGATTCTCTAGCATCGGGGGAGAGCTGGGACCACACCGCGAAGGCACCGCCAGTAAGACGTAGAGGTATCACCTCGATGGCGTCCACACCTCGATGTGAACATATCAGTTCTGCCCGTGAAAGCCATTCCATCACATCAGTTGATCCGTCGAATTCCGTTATCAGCCGGGGGTCAAACTGCCCTGTTTCCACTTTCCCCGTCTTATTCTTCCCTGATCTTGGAGCCATTCTTATTTCCACTGCTAAATACGTTAAAGCCGAAATAGCTTGTGATAAGCAAATGAGAAATCAATCCGCCCGACACAAATCGTCTCCCAAAAACCACTGTATTTTTGCCTCCCCAACAATCCGACTTGATTTTCTGAAGTTGATCTCGCGCAATTTCTCGCCCTTGTGTGAACTTCACACTTCCGTATCACAGTTCACATCACACAATGTTACATCAATCACTTGAATTGTCATCATGTCTTAATAGTAACATAACCCAAAATGTGGCCAATCATAACACGCCAAACAGTTTCCTTCACACAGCGACATATAGATCGAAGTGGCCTGATGCAATTCAGAATGTTGTTAATTTATGCGCCTGGTGGCCCGCATAGCAGAGAACCGTAGCTCAACGGTTGACCCGCGGAGAATCCCGTGGCGGCTTCACTGCGTGTGCTTAGGTGCCAATTAAACAGCGCCTCCACAGTCGTTCGCCATTAAGCCAGTGCGTCAGTTTTCTCAGAGGCCAGAGCTTGCTAAAAAATACTGCGAACGCGCTCACTTGACGTCGCCGTTCGCACAGCGCTCTCAGTCTGAGCGCACGAGCCGGGCAGCCCGCGACCACGGACACAAGAGCCATCGACCCGGGCACCGGGCACCGGGCCGCGGGCCGCTCTCCGAGCACGGCATGGCAGCACATTTTATTCCGCTCAGCGAGTTAAGCCCGTCTTGACCTTAGACGTGGGGTGCAGTTAGCACGTGCCCGGGAAGGATTGGGGAAGTGCGCGCTTTCAGCGGAGCACAGAATTTGTCGTACTCACACCTTACAGCTTCAGCTCCTTAGAGCCAGAACTTTGGACCGGGTTCAACCTTTCAGCACATAGTACTCGTACTTAAAAGGAACGGTATAAATGCTGGGTGGACGGTATAAATGCAAAAAAGAACAGCATTTGTAACAATCATGTGCTGTTCACGCAGTCATGGACTCGAAAAAAGATTTTTTTTTTATGACCTTTGAATTTGCAATAATATGTAAAAATAGTTAAGTGAGAAATAATAGAGTGTAATCCTTACATATTTGCTATTAAATAAGATAAACTAAATGATCGTTATCAGGCGTTATAAACTATGTTTCCCATCATAAAGTGAAATTATCTGGTAGTTCCCTCTCATCAAAGCGAGAAAAACTCGCTGATGATGAACAGCAGACCCACCGGACTGCTTTCTAATCGTATATGTATACCTCACGAGTGCTGCACAACGTTCTCTCTCAGTAATAGAGCCGACAGCCGACAGCGAATGCCCCCAAAACGTGAGTCGGACAAGGACCGAATAAAAAAAATGGTAATCCGTTTTACTGTGAACGGTATGCGGAATACGAAATAAATCGAGAACAATTCCCTCGTCGCCTGTCATACTGACGAAACGGTAACACACTTCCAAGGAATAGTAGAATAAAGTGAAGGAAAGGTCAGCGATAGACTGGATAACGTTACTAATGACTAAAGCTTTTGTAGCACCTCAAATGCCATCAGCACCCTGATGCTGCAGTTACTACACGCCCGCAGAGCTGCCCTCACCTATAGCTCTTGCCGTTGTTCATGCGGTAGCCCCTGGAGGCGGCGGACGCCCGAGAGTAGCGCCAGGCTGCCCAGTGCTTCCGCAGCTCCAGCTTCACCTCAGAGTTCATGAAACAGTACAGAATCGCCACGAAGAAACCCTGGAAATAAAAGCGATAGTTAGAGGCACATGTAAAGTATGCTTTTATCTTCAATATTTGCTCATTGAGCAACTTTGATACGAAAGGGAAAATAATAAGCATAAGTGAAAGAAGAGCGATATTATGAAATAAAAACATTGCCTTACCATCTACTCGATGAGCGCGCTGGCGCTTTTGGATTTTCATATATGATTCACAGTATGAAATAATTTGTAGAAGTTGTCAACTGCCTCTATTGTGGTCCACTAGAATTTTCTGTGTGCAAAACATGCAACACATAACTGACGCAATTTTTGCTTATAATAACTCGACCTACCTGTTCGGATGTAAAAAATTAGCACCTTCTTTGGGTTCGTTGATCGACCAGAGGATAACCTATCTGTATTTAAACTGGCGGCACACGCACAATGCGGGAACACTGTTGAATTTTCTGCGAGGAGCGCCGCTGGTCCGGACCAGTGCCGGCAAACTTTGCCGAGGGCTTAATTTTGATTGCCAATACCTCCGACGGCCATAGGGGATTATCCTCTCGGAAATGCTTGAACCGCTGTTACAGGGCTCACCGACTCGACTGACCTATATGCCCACACCACAACGAGATTGCTGAAGTTGGTGGTTTTTCAGATTGTGTCGGTCGGGGGAAGATATAGCTTTAGTGGGCTCTCGTGATGCATTTTATATGGCTGCTAACCAGTATCGAACAAACTTAGAAGCGATGGACGGCCCACATTTTCCCGGAAAGGGCAACCGATAAGCCGTAAACGTGATATGACCACCGCGGGAGGTTATTCGTCAGCCTGAAAGAACGATGAAGCATCCCCGTGTTCAAATATTTCTTCCAGTGGGAGAAGTATATACTGCATAGAGAGAGCATTCCGATAGCATTTGAAAGTTACCAAGAAAGAGTTTATCGATCCATCTCACTCCGCCAATTTATTATACGTAAATAGATGACACTATCAGTATTAACGTTCAGACACTGGCCGATGCATCCGTTGGTGCGAAACACGATCAAGGCAGTGATCAAAGAAAAATATAGAAGGTAACTATTGTAGTAAAGCTAATGCTGCTTGTTTTGAATGATCAACTCAGAACAGAATGTAGTTCCGCAGTAAGATATTGCGCTCGACGTTTTTAAGTGGCGTGCACTACGCGGGTGCTCCACTTTGTGAGCACTTTTTGTGGCTCCAGAGGTTCAGCTATCACCATCTTCCATGCTCTATCTCAAAAGATCATGGCATACCTCGATGACAGCCTCTCACACTCCTTTGTAAGTAACACCGGAATGTGAGTTTTCTAGCACTGTAGGGTCGCAGTGTCCGCGATACGCTTCATTTAGGGACGCGTATTTAAAATGTCACTTTTCAAGGGCCCCCCAACTCAATGCTGATTGCTCGCAGCCGATGCAGTTTCTAGATCCTGCCGCTAGATGGCAGCAGCGATTGCCGCCTGAAGGTATGCTGCACCGCAGAGTCCCAAGCTATGCGGTGCAGTATAACTTTCCTTCAAGCGCCGCGTTACGACGACCACTCGTCAATGGGGCGGAACGGTATTATCACATATAGTGATCACCATTGATTCATATGCATCTGCATTAGTTATGGTGGGATGCAGATGAGCTGTTACATGGTCCCGAGTCCTTTACAACACATCACAATAAACATGCATGTCAATACGTAGACGAAGTCGAATAAACACGACGCGAATGACAACGGAGTTCCAGCAGCTGTAAACATCTGGCTTTTATCGTCCACAGGTTTAGAGAACAACATAACGACAGGTATCGCATCACGCCGGTGGTAAAACAAGCCAACGGCACTTTCCGTGGGAGGCCAGCGGTTGTCTCCGACATAAGCTGACGGTACTCCCCGCACTCAGCCTCCGTAACGGGCGGGACCTGGTGATACCCCACCGGGGACGCATACAAACTCCAACTATAATACACGGCACCCATTCCGTGCAAGATGGAAAACACATTCAGTTCTCAGCACACTGAGCCAGGGCAAGCAGAGGACCGCACGTTATGGTGAAGGAAGTGGGACAATAAATCAGTGCTCAGGCATTGATGAAAAAAGTGGCTCATTCTTCAAGAGGAAATTAAAGCCTATGAGCAATTGTAGACCTAGATGATAACATCAGGCCGGCCGTTCACTTTTCATGGGTAATACACGCAGGCGTCCGAATGTATAAAACTGATGGTTTGTTTCTTGCAATTTGCAGCAGTATGTATGTACTCTCAAGATAAGCAGGTAATAATAACTTGCAGCGTTCTTCAGATCGTTGGAAGCAGCATAAAAATGAAAAACTTACACCAAACATACACGGCAGCGAAAACCAAACCAACAACCATCTCGTGCTAGCACCGATTCGTCTCCCACCTGGAATGAAGCGAAGAGCTGATCACCGAACAGCCAGATGAGCTCCAGCACTCTGTTGACGTTCATGAAGGCGGAGAGGCCGATGAAGACGACGTAGTGGAAGCCAAACAGCGGGATCAGCACCAGAGTCGACCTCGCCAGCTTCCTGCCAACGGCGTCAGAGAACAGCGAAGGGATTAACGGCATCGGTAGCGAGGCGGCAGAGAGGGTCGAGAGACTCCGGCAGTTGAAGGATCAAGGGTCTCTGCACTTGGATATCGATATAGGTGGGAGGGAGGGAGGGAAAGAGAAAGAGAGTGAGGGAGAAAAAATAGGAGAAGAGACGATGGCAGCGGCGGTGGCAGCGGCCAGACAACATGAGCCACACTATTCGTTATCAGCGCCCGCATACCCAACCATTTCCAATTTGAGTCAGTTTGACCCGCAGTTACCATTCGGCAGCACAACACGCTACCTTTAGAAGGGAATGCTTGACAAAAAGATCAGCTACCAAGAGCACGCTGCTCCGGTATTTGAGAGGTTGAGGATGAATGAAATGCCATATAGAACGAATCGAGCACCTGTAGGAAGAGTAGGTACCTACTCCTCCTCTCCCATGGCAGAAGAACGATAGAACAGACGACTCCATTAATGTCACGTACTAGGCCAACGTGATCACTGTCTTATATAATTATGCTAATGGGATTGCGAATAACGATATTCAATGATCAAAGTAAACAGATTAGATGAATCTAGAGTGGCACCGTTGCCCATGCTGTTGTGGTTAGATCAGCATTCAGCAGCACGAAGCTTTACCTATTTGTGTCATGGTATTTTTATTGTACATACATGGATCAACTGACAACACAACCGGTAGGTAGACATTACTTTTGATCCGATTGGACACGGTAACGGTTTATTTAAGATGATTATGCATACAAATATAAAAAATGATTTGCATGTAACTATCAGGCTTATCAGATTCTACCTACAGCTCTATCAGATTCACAAACAGCTCTATCGCTATCTCTCCCAAAACCATCTTCTGGCCAATACCCAGCACGGTTTCCGACCCCGGCACTCAACTGAGACAGCACTTCTGTCCGTCAGTGACCAAATCCTGGCCGCCACCGATAGGGGGGATGTCTCTATGCTATGCCTTATTGATTTAAGCAAATGTTTTGATGTCATCAACCATGAGTTATTACTCGCTAAATTGGCAATGCACGGCATAGAGACATCCTGGTTCGCCGCTTATCTCCAGGGTCACACACAGAGTGTGTCATTGAAGGACGAGTCCGGTCGCCGGGTATTATCACAACCTCTCCCCAACTCTATGGGCGTCTTTCAAGGCTCGGCACTCGGTCCCTTACTCTTCACGGTATTTTCCAATGATCTATCACTTTATTCTGAGGATGCAGCAGTCTTCCAGTACGCTGATGATACTCAATTGTTGGTGAGTGGCCCTTTAAACGACCTTAGGGGACTCATCTCGCGCTTGGAAGCGTCACTGGCGTCTCTCGACCATTGGTTCAGTGCAAATGCTCTTAAAGTAAACACTGCTAAAACTCAGCTCATGGTTTTCGGCAGTCGGCAAAATTTGAGAAGCATACCTGCTTTCACCGTTTCTTTTCGCGACACCAAACTAGTGCCATGCAAGCAGGTGGGCAACCTGGGCGTTATCTTCGACGGCACCCTGTCCTGGGACGCGCATGTGTCCGAGCTCAGTCGCCGGTGCACGGGTCTCCTAATTGGCCTCTCCCATGTCCGCCACTATCTCCCCGACGGTGTCACCAAGACACTAGTGGTGGCTCTCGTCATGTCACGGATCCAGTACTGTCTCTCCGTATTTGGTAATGGTAGCCAAAAGAACTTCGATCGCATTCAGAAAATTCTTAACTTTGCCGCTAGAGTCATTTTCGGTCGCCGTAAATTTGATCATGTCTCCCATCTCCGGGACCAACTCGGCTGGATGGCACCTAAAACAATGGCTGAATACCATACTCTTATCACGGCGCACAAGGCCATCCAGAGAGGTGAACCCGAGGAGATCGCGACCCTATTTTCCAAAAATTCCCAAACACGAGCAAGGTCTACTCGCCAAGACCACCTTTTCTACTTACCGCGACCCCGACTAGAGACCGGAAAACGTAGATTCGCCTACCGTGCCGCGGCGCTCCTAAATACTCTCCCCCTCGAGCTAACGCAGTTGCCTCCAGCCAGATTTGCCCGTGCTGTAAAAAAGGGGCTTAAGCCTAGCCAGAGTAGCCATAGTAGCTAGCCTCATGACTCTTGGACTATGAAAGGCAAACGAGTCTGTGTGCATAGTTATGAACGCGGCTTCGTGCGGGTTACACCAAGTATGTGCGTGTTCGGCGTTCGCGTTGTGTATTTCGTATCCGTAAGTGTGTGCGTATTCTTGTGTAGGTATTTCTTGTGTTATCTTCAACCAGCTCGGACTCGGAGTGTAATCGCCACGCCGATTGTGGATTGCTCTTGATCGTCAATACATACATACATACATACTACAGGTGTTTTAAAAAACGGGCGGTTTCTGCCAAGCAGTTTATGTATTACGTGAACACTGAAGACTCTGCCGTATACGAGCCCAACGTCCAGCTTCCTAGCTGGTAGCGCTCCAGTGCCCTCGCTGAGGACAACCATGAAATGTAGTCACTTAACTTGCATGGAACACTGAGGTGGGGCAGAGGTTAAAATAAAGTAACCAGATTCTGCACATGCATCTTCCTTGTTCGTTCTGGCAATCCAACCGACAGAGACCAACTCACAACATTTCTGTCAATCACTTTCTGCCATCCAATACATTTGTGTTTCATCGCCCCCTTTTGTCACTCGTCATCAACCATGTAGGCGAGGCCACAGCCGCGGCGTCCGCCTGTCACTACCACAAAGAGCTCTTCGCGCCTTACCTACATACCAAAACACGTCCACAGCCACCGCCCGATAAGGTAGCCACCGCCACCCCCCTCTCTGCCATGGGCCAGGCCACGAGAGCCGGCCGCCCACGCTGAAACACTTCAGCACGGCCGACACCGCAGTCGGCACGTGGGACCAATAAAACCTCGATGTCTCAGCACGACGAGCCGCGGCCCCAATAAACGGAATTGGCGTGTCTACTGGCCCGTGTGCTGACCGCTGCCAGAGGTGGCAATGGCCATCCGGGGGCGCGCTGGCACGAGCCGCGGTAGTTACTGACGCTATCGAAAGGTAGCCGATCGGACCGCCGTCCGAGCCGGTCGGTCCCCTAATCCTCTCTGCAGACAGCCTCGGATTACTCCACAAATGCTGCACCAGCAGTCTGGACTGTTATTGAATGAAGCGAATTGCTAAGCCATAGTCCGGAAACCTATTAAATGATTAGCATACTAACGACGTCAACTGAATGGCAACATCAACATCGCATCATCTGGCCATCGCAAACACCTCCCTAGCGATTTGAACATCCTAAAACCACCTCCTCTCGCAATTAGACCATCTCAAACCGAATCGTCGGCGGTCGGATAGCAGTGCGTCAGCGGCACGCCCGTCAGCCGAGTTCTCGGCGTTGGAAGAGTGCGGATCCGGTGAGACTGCGTATTGTGGCTGGTGGCGCCGCGATCCTGTGGTCATGGTCTGGGGCGACGTGCGGGGAATACTGAACTGGCAGACCGTCGGCGCCGCCACAGGTTATTGGGAGTGGTCTGGCGGAGTGCCAGACAATTATACGTGGACGGGAGGAAGGACGGAGAGAGAGAAAGAGAGAGAGAGAGAGAGAGGGAGAGAGAGAGGAAGAGAAAGAGAAATGGATAATTTCTATTGATATCAACATCCTCACTTATGGATCCAACATTGCTTGTTTCCTGAATATTTTCATCTTTTCCTATTCTTCTTCGTCTCCAATTTGGTTCGCTCCTGTCATACCCTGCAACCTCATACCTATTTTTACCTGCCATAGAAGTTATGGAAAAGAAAGCACACATCATGCAGCTGGCAAGTATCTGAGCAGTGAATTATTTTCTTAACAATCCACTCAGCCCTCTTGTCGTGCTTTTGAATGAAGTGTCATTTTTAGTCTGTTTTAGAAGAAAGTTTTGTGAACGATGGATCGCGCTGTGTAAGTGCCTGCCTAACATATTTCTTGTCATGTTTATCGGTGAAGTCGGTCACCTAAACAATATTATCCTGCTGCTGTAGCAATTCATAGAGTACGTAATCGATGTCGACAGAAATAAATCAATAAGCATGATATTTGGATTTTATCAGCCTATCAGTACCAAAATGCAACAGTGCGTATGCCGTCTGGTATTCGGGCCTCCTAGCGTCCCTCCTGCTACTCACATCATTAGGCAACAAATGCATCACTCGAGTCTCGACCTCTGAAACGGCCGCCAGACAGCAAGCGCGACATGTGCAATCTCTTAGGGTGGCTGCGGGGCCGGCAGTTGGAAAATGAGACTCAGCCGCCACCGTAAATTAAATGGAATCGTATAAGGGACATCAGACGAGGGCATGAAGTGAAGAAACTCGTAGTGGGATGTGCGGGGACGTTGCTCAAGACTATGATGTGTAAAACTTTCTTATTATCTTTGTTTCCTTCGGAAGCTATTTCAAAACATAGCTATGCAGCACAATGACGAGAGAAAGAGTGTGCATGTGCGATCGTTTGAAGTCAGTATATTTGTGACTAACTTTATATGCTTGGGACATAGGGAATGGAGATTAGACATGCACGATGGGATCGGTTGTCCAGACAATTATTTGATTTAATAATTGTCTTGAAGAAGTACAAGAAGAGTCGTTTTCATTGTACAGCATGCATTCTAGGTATACAAGGTAAAAGTTGACCGTCACAATCACAGCAAAATACCGATGAAAGAAAGAAGAGATCAACACTCAACAGCAAGTGAACGTCTGAAGACAACAGCCAGAAGCCGGAGAAGTAGTAAGATTAGTTACCTGTACCTGTAACGGCGCGTCTCGACTGAGATGGACGAGTTCAGCTTCTGCATCAAGATGAGCACGATGCACACGAAAAGCACCGCGTTCACCTGTGCAACAGCACATTGCACACACAGGTTACACACACAGCAAGAAGGCGGCATTTATTTTACCATGACCTCGCGCTCCATAGACGCAACGTATCTTTTGCCGTCACGTTGCGAATTCTTTCGTTGGCAACATGTTATGATTATACCACCCGATTGAGCGAGGGTTCCAATTTGAGTCGAACCCATTTGAAATTAATTATGCGGCGCACGCTGATTTAAGTCACTCCACAGTAATCGTAACGTGAGGTGCCTACCAGCCGTCATAACACAACCCATGCCCGTGAGCCCAATAATTGTAACAGAGTTGCCACGCACTGCTCGTTGGAGCTGCTCACCAGGATCAGGAAGATGGTTGGTGCTCGAATGATCCAGAAGAAGCCGTTGTTGATGTTGACGCGCCAACAGTAGAAATCCTCCATCAGGGCTCGGACCACCACCCACGGAACAACAAAACATATCGGAAAACCTGTGACACACATACAATTATTATTTGTCATGTTTGCCTGCTGTCATAGCGGATAATCAAAGGGACTTTATTATATGTATTGCGGTCCTAAGCCGTTAATAATTAGTAGGTACTATATGTCGTCGCACTATAATTCCTTAGTGAAGCTACAGGCCATATCTTTTGACTTTCCGACTTTCTCAAAGCTCGGGATAACAAAAGGCTAGATTTGGCAAGCGAAGCAAGCAACGACTTTTCATAAAGCAGATCTCAGCGGTCTTATAAAATATAACCAACATTTAGATAAACATTTTGATCATGCACCTTGAGTTCAAAACCAGGTACCTAATGACATTTAACTTCACGTCACGCATGCTTTATAGAGTTTTACTTGTCTTCATAAATATTAATTCAGTCCAGCTCCAGGACGGTCGAGCGTCAGGCTCGTGTACGTACTCCGTGAACTTACCCCATCCCAGTAGAATGTAGGGCGTGATGCTGCTGTGGTCGGAAAACAGCGCCAGGTAGATGAGACAGAACAGGTAGAGCCCTTCCATGGTGACCCACGAGTAGTTGGCCATGGTGAAGTACTGCGTGATACTGGTCACCATCTTACACACCCAACTCTGTGGAAGTGGCGAGAACGAGCCTTCAACACGGGGAGAATGTTTGGAAACATCAAAACTGCGCAGATGGTCCCACTAGTTCGGTTCCCACGCTTTTTTCAAGGGGACACCGGATAAGCAAAAAGCATGGTCCTATATTATCTTTAACTTTATGTGTAATACAACGAAAAGCAGAAGGATGGTAAAGGCAAAAAATGATCTCCACATTCATAGTGTTTGGACTTCAAATCAAGGCGAATACATGCGTGTCTAAGGGATATGTGCCCCCTCAACATATCATGTGGTTACGGAGGGAGCGAAGCGAGCGGAGTCTTTCCCATATAACTGAAAAATCTCAGTATGAGCGGCCCGGCCCGGCCTGTAACGCTTTTGCGAGGCTTATATCTCAGCAACCGCTTGACCGATTTCCATGCGGTAATTTTTGTAGGGTAGCTTCATTCCTTCTACCAAGTATTGGACTACTCCCGATGCATGTGGGTGACGTGCAAAACGAAGAGGTGTCAGTTTTGTAACAATTGCAATAGCTCGGTAACTACTGGGCCGATTGCGCTGAAAGTTGGCATGTACGTAAGCACCCACTAGGCAGTGCATATCTATTATCCATGTGCCACAGTCGGGGTGCTGCTGCACGTGGCACGTGCAGGAGTCGATTCCAGATCTCGAGAACAGCTGAACAGATTGCGCTGAAATTTGGTACAGTCCACAGCAGAAGTAATGTGTGGTTTCAGTCATGGGTATGTTCTGCTTCTGAAGCCTAGGAACGATTAGCCAGACTGCAACGAGACTTTAAATGTAGCTTACATGTATCTTCTTCACCCTTGCAGCTACAACTTTATCTATTGACGTCTTCTTTTCAATCAGTCTGCATTTAAAAATCGTCGGTCAAAGCCATCCGTTGAGATTGGTAAAACCACATATTACTCTAGCGGTGGGCTGTACATGGTTAGGAACCGGTTAGTAGCGTGCCGTGCAAAAGTCAGTTGGGACCCATTTTGAACGTGCGCACGTGCAGGGTGCCGCTTCCAGATGTCGAGAACGGCTAGGCCGATTGCGCTCAAATTTGGCACATTGCTAGAGACCGGTTAGAAGGGTGCAGTGCACAAGTCAGTTGGAGGTACCCCCCCCCCCCCCCCCACAATTTCGCACGTGCAAGGCTCATCCTCTCGCTCGCTCCGTTTGTCGCCCTAAAGGCGTTTTACTGTTATATGATGTAGTCAATTCCTTGCAAGCACAAAATCGAGATGGATCACTTCTAACGCAAGTCCAGAAATAACTTTAGTGGCCAATGGCCATTCATAGGAGTACCATAAAAAAATACTTCGTATGATCTCCATGAAATCTCGTGGAGGGGAAGTTCCATCACGTAATTTAAAAGGCTCAGTTCTAATGTCACACTATTTTAAAAACACGCAAAAAGGCACACACACAGTCGCTGTAGCAAGTAATTCGCCTGAGTGTTTCTCGATGCTCCGGTTTCTGAAGTTGGGTTAATCGACTTATTTTGGAAACATTCATCTCTCTGGAGCTGAGCTCAGTCTTCCAACAATATGAAAGAAGTCGACTAACACTGACAAATTACTGACAGGAGGCTTTCTTTATTGGTTGGTAACGCAAAACTCAGCGTTTTCGTCCATCTCTTCAACTACATGGGCCTATGGGTATGTGAACACATGTTTGAGCGCACGTTTGTTTCAAAATCATACCGTGTATGTGCCTACCGGATTGGACTTACGGGTTGGGCAATGGACAGGGACTGTAAAGATAAACTGCATATTGCGCGGCTGACTAAACTTTCGCAGGCTCCTAGAATCGATTGTGCATTCGAAATGAGGCCTCATTGGAAGTAGGCATTTCAAGGCATGCAAACTTGACATCAAATTCTTCAATCCATCCCAAATATATTCGCATTTTCCGTCCAACCAAACGACAGTCCGTGGGCCAGCCGGCAAAGCTCGAGAGCACCTGGGAGGTAGGCTGTGCCGCAGTGACTGGCTACGCCTGACGAATAGACCGAGCCGCCGAACACCGGGCCGGCCGCGTGAGTCTACCGTGCGCCGGGAGACCGCTAGTCGGACCACCGGCAGACATTCTCTCGGGACAAGTACTAATTGCAGCTCTCACCCTGCTCGAGGGGCCATTGTTTGGTACCCACGCAATCAGGCCGTTCGAAATGCTCTGGAATACAGATCACCTCATGCACAATGCACAACTCCGCGAACGTGAAGAAATACAGGACTGACGTCTTACGGCTGATTGTTAAAACACCAGGCTTTGAAGAAAAAAAAGCAACTACAGTTGCTTTGCTATCAATCTCAGTACTCTTGATTGGTAAAACGCCTAACTTTGAAAAAAAACACGGCTGCTACCGATCTTAGCTACTCTCTGTAACGAATACAGGGACGCGAAAGTATCTATGTAACGCATTCCCTCTATACTCATTATTTATATGAAATCCAATGGTGATTACTGTAAATTTGTCATTTACCAGCGTTGTCTCATCAGGCAGCCGCCTGACCATGGTCTCAGAGTTTACCGACGACGTGAAGCGACGGTCAGCGGCCGCCCCAGGCTGGCACCATCACCGGGCCGCCCCCATTGGGCGCTATGAGGACCGGGCGAGGCCTGGCACCATCAACCGGCGTCACATCCGGCTGGCCGGCCCACAATGCAGCCGACAATGGCGGGTGACAGCGGGCAGCAAAACACTGAGCTCCGCTGCTTTACTATCAAACATGTTTCGCATGCCGGCAATGATGGATGAGGCTGCTTTTCCTTTCAACAGTACAAGCGCCTGAGTTTAAATACAATTTCGAAACACAGCTTTTCTTTTCCCGTTTTGAAACAGTCTGTTAACATCCGTAAATTAAATAATTTTGGAGTTCCGTGCAATTGAGAAAACTGTCCATAGTTCAACTTAACACGAAATTATTTCATCACCTTTTTCGCATGTCATGTTTCAATTCTATTAAATCAAGTAACATAGATACAAGCATTTCACGCATTTCTTGATGTTGAAGCGCACGAATTCCTGAGGGCCCCAGCGCTTTACCGGGGCTTTACCGAATCGGCTACCACTGACCACACACACCATCACTCTCATCAGCTGAGCTAACAGTATAGACGGCGAGGCAGCTCCGGTCTGACACTGAAAACCTCTGCCGGCGCAACAGCCGGACGGTCTCCGCCACAGGTCTACCGAAGCCGCCGGATAAATTAAAACGTGACCGACCTATGTATCTACTCAAGGCAACTGGAAGCTGTGCGAGTACTTGTCATTCATCGTGTTAATAAGTAAGATTCAAGCACACATTCTTTAAAGGTTATCCGTATTCTCGGCTTCTGTACTTACAGCTTAAATAAATGTTGTGGAAAGTTTTATGTAATCGTTCAATATTGTATTACAATAAAACACAAAGGCTATTGTTGACACGTAATTATAGATTAAAAATAGTAGATACCTAAATATGATTACGAAATGACAAACTTGTCACATTTGGCATCACGTGAGCATTTCATCTTGGTGGAGCGGAAGCAACCCACATTTCATCACTGGCTGAGATCCACTTTTCGAATTCAATGCTCTTTTAAAGCAGAAATACTTCCAAAGGGTAGATAAATCCCCCATCTTTCCATATTGGCTATTGCACAAACGTCTGACATATTGAACAAAGACTTGGAGTTAAGGTCTGCCTGCTGTTCAATCTTGCCAGCGGCGATTCCGGTTCCTCGTCCCTCTTGCCCTCCTCACTGAGGAGTCACAGTGGCAGTGACGACCCCCCCTACCCCCCCCCCCACCTGTTGCCGCGGCTCCTGTTCCATCGCCGCCGGGAAACACCACCTCCACAAGCCCAACATCATTACCGCCCATCTCCCGTGAGAACGGCGACAGTGCCGCGAGAATGACGATGACCACTGAGGTAATGCCAACAGCGTGACGGGGAAGTGGTTCGCCGCAATATTCATGGGGAGGTGGCAAGGTACTGACCTCTTGGTACTATTGAATATTTCAGGATGTCTTGACGAAACGTCATGTTAGAACGGCACATTTTTCCGTTCCGTTCCGTTTATTGATTATAATTTGGGATCACACATTGAACAATTCATAATTTATGGCACTGTCAAACGGGATTGGTCGGAAAGGATTCACATGTTAATTTTGTTAGAATACGGACAGTTAGTGTTAAAGGTTATATTGGGGAGTTTGACAGTGCCTAACCAGACGGTAACACAAAGACGAGATCAAAAAGACGAGTCAGCGGTCATTCCAGAGAGCGGCGACCCAGCACCGCCGCCGAGCGCAGCGGCCATCCGGCACCCGGCGCCAAGCACCAGCCGGGCCTTGGTCGATGGGGATGGTGCCCGGAGAGCGGCGACTCAGTATCGCCGTCCAGCACACAGTCATCGGGCGTTCGACGCCGTCATCCCGCCGGTCCAAGGTCGGCAGTAGCGCCACAGAGGTGGCGCCTGCTCCACCAGTGGCGCTCGTCCCACCAGTGGCGCCACCCCATGGCAGCATGAAGATGTAGCCCGTTGTCAAGTCAGGAGAGGGGGCACCGCTGCCGCTCACCGCAGCGGTCGCAAGGTGCCGGTCATCATACATCCAACGGGCCACGGCCGAGAATGAAGTCTAGTCGGCTGCCCCGTAGTCATGTCCAACAAGCTCACTGGGACTTCGACAGTTCGAGAGCGGCGACTCAGTATCGCCGCTCAGCGCAGCATTCATCAGGCGCTCGACGCCGTTAGCCAGCCGGTCGGCTGTACCGCCTCAGAGATGGCGCCTGCTCCACCAGTGGCGCTCGTCCGACCAGTGGCGCCACCCCATGGCAGCATGAAGATGTAGCCCGTTGTCAAGTCAGGAGAGGGGGCACCGCTGCCGGTCACCGCAGCGGTCGCAAGGTGCCGGTCATCGCACATCCAACGGGCCGCGGCCGAGGATGTAGTCTAGTCGGCTGCCCCGTAGTCATGTCCAACAAGCTCAGTGGGACGTCGACAGTTCGAGA